TCCCATCCTTCTTTTTCACAAGTAATACCGGCGAGGAGAATGGGCTTTGGCTGGGTTGTATAATTTTTCTATCAAGCATATCTTGCACTTGTCTCTCAATCTCTAGTTTCTGAAAATAGGGGTAACGATAGGGCCTTATATTTGTGGGTGTCGTTCCAGGCAGCAATGGAATGCAATGATCATGGACACGTTTCAGTGGTAGTTCCTTAGGCTCTTGGAAGATCACTGAAAACTTCTGAAGTAGTTGTTGTAGTTGTATGCGGGCTTCTTCGGATCTGCTGGAGTTAGTTCCTTGGGCTAGATCTACCTCGAACTCGTGTCGTTGTATCTTCATCTTTAATCCTGTGCACGTACTGTCGCACACCAGGTTGCTCCCATTAGCTACATGCACCCGGAATGTTGTACATGGTTGGACCGGAATCCCTAGTTGTCTGACCAATGTTTGTGTAATGAAATTGAGAGTGCAGCCACTGTCTATCAGAACCGACACATGGCGCCCTTGTACCAGTCCGGTTACTCTCATAGTTTGAGAGGAAGCAAGACCAGTCAAGGCTTGCAGGGATATTTCCGGGTATTCCTTTGTCCATTGCCCCCATTCTTGGTTGTCCATTGGCTCTTCAATGTCTGTTGATTGCTCAACGTTTTCGGTTTCGGGTTGAAGGAAGAAAACTTGCGGGATCTTACAACAATGGCCCGAGCCGAATTTGTCTCCACATGCATAACAAAGGCCCTTTTCCCGCCGGACTTGCATCTCAGCTCAGGTTAACCTCTTGGCTGAGCCGGGGCCTGAACTAGAGTTGGCGTCCTTGCCTGTGTATTGGAAGGAACACATACAACTCCTGTAATGAATTGAACATCTCTCAAAAGACCACAGTTATCAAGATTCTGGGGTTACCTTTTAACCTCTGGCAGGAACACATCTTCCACAAAATAGCAGTGGTTTGTGGTGGTGTATTGGAAGGGTTTTGCATGCAAAATCTTCAAGCGGCAAAACTCAAAGTGGCAGGAGTAAGATCCGAAGAAATCCCAAGAAGAATGGACATCTTTGCTGATGATTGTTGGAGAACGGTGTGGTTTGTGTCGGAAGTCAAAGCAAATCTCTGGAACAATTTGGAGGAAGATCTGGGCTTATAGAAATGAAATGAAGAAAGTCAAATGGATAACTCAGCAGATGGACTTAACTATACAATGGGTGGGGAGGGAGGCAAATGCTTTTGCTGATTGTCTAGCTAAACAAGGAGTAACTAGGGATCAATTGTACTGGGCCCACTTGTAACGTTATGATGTTTCTGTATTAATGAGTGAGGCTGCACCTCATATTGGAATGCTTGTAACAGACTCTTTATCATTTGCTTCTAATGAAATCAATTGAATGTTTATCTATCAAAAAATAATAAACACCTATCCAATAACATAAATAGAAAAACTCATAGAGATAGAGAGGGGGGAGAGAGAACAGAATTCTAGAATTCAAATCAGTGTTGCACATATACAAACTGGAAATGAAGATCTCAAAATGCAAATTCCAAAATATAATGCATCCAAAACGATCGAATCATACACCATCCAGAACATTAGTGCAATGAGCTTCATCACTATGAAAAGCAGAAATAGACGAACCAAATTAGCAATCCAGATGAAACTAGAAGAACCCATTATAGAATACGATGCAAAAAAAAAAAAAAACTTCTAATAATTCCCAAAAAGACCAGTCTTTTAGATTGTACGGAGAAGGAAAAGGCAAATAAGGCAGGGTCAACAGTAGAAAAGCTATAAATGTGTACCTGTTGAGTTTGAGACTCCTCGGAGACGAAAGATTTTCTTTCATCGTCGGGTATATCTCTCGTAGAGAAAATGAAAATGAAGACGGAGAAAGCAAAAAGAACGAGGGTATAAACAGTCACGGATAAAAGAGAGGGTTTAGGGAGAAATTTAGTTGTTGCAGAGCCTCTCAAATAGGAGGATCCACGGCCGTTTACCATCTCATCGGATCTCTGTCACTCTTCAACTTCACATGCTCTCTCGTATGCTCGTCCCCTCACCTCATAGTAGGGCTCATAGACCGTTTACCATCGCATCGGATCTGTCATTCTTCCGTTTCACATGCTCTCTCGTGGGAGAGTTCACATCAACCCCCCATAGGGGGCGCCCCACAACGTCCCACAGCACATCCCATTTCTAGTACAATCATCGAGAAACCAATACACGGTTAGGATGCGTTGTAGGACGTTTTGGGGCGCCCCTTGTGGGGTGGCTGATGTAAACTCCTCTCGTTGATATCGGATCATTTACCAACAAACGAATTCAAATCAACCCCGCACAAGACTGCCCCCACAACGTCCCACAGTACATTCCCGCCGTATATTGCGAATATCTCCTGATGATGACATCATGATGTTCCCAATACACGATGACGAGGATGTGCTGTGAGACGTTGTGGGGGGCTGATTTGGTCTCCCAATACACCCTGCGAACAACGGCCCACCCAATCCGATGTAGTGGATTTACAGCATGCACCTCACAACGAACTCTGGTTCACCTACCAACAAAATACACTTCAACATCAGGCATCAACTGCCATCACATATCTCATACATAGTGGGTCTCACTTTAATAGTGGGTCCATTTTCATTGTGAGATATGAGTTCACATCTGCGCCCCACAACGTCCCACAGCACATATCCACCATGTATTGGGAACATCTCTCGATGATAGTATCAAAAATGATGATATCATCATCAGGAGATGTTCCCAATATACGGTAGGGATGTGTTGCAAGGTGCAGATGTGAAATCGTGAGATTTGGGTGATAGATGAAGTAGGAATTCGGATTAGCAATTGTTGTTTACCAAACAGGCCGTGGAACCAATTAATAAATTCATAGGCCCCATGTATTTAAATGAACAACCATTGTATTGATAAGGTGTTGGAATGTATTTTGTTGATAGGTGTCTCAACTTACTTATGCAGTGGCTAGGTTGGGACTATGTTAGGAATGTTACTCAAATTTGGATTCAATCCTCACTGAATTGCCCTTACACCATGTTCACAACCACTTGTAATTATGCATAGGAAATATCTCCCATGAATGAAAACATAGAAATACACATCGTGCTCACAACCACTTGTACTTATGCATAGGAAATATCTCCCATGAATGAGGCTCCATTTGGTTTGTGGGAAGATTTGGGTGGGATGGGATGGGATGAAAATGTGTACAAATTTACCTTTCCATTGTTTGGTTTTATATATGGGAAAATAGTAGGAAAAGCATTGCCACAACGTGGTTATTCGCCGAATTCATGTAAGATGAAGAAGAGAGCTCTACAACTGCAACTTTCCTATTATCTTCAACAAAGGTATGAGTTGTAGTGGCCTAACAATGAAACAAAAAGCACACCAATAGAGAGAGAGGGGAAATGAGGGAATGAGAGAGAGATAGGAGTGCTGAGAAAGCATATCACCACTGTAGAGAGTTGCAGCGGTGATCAGAGAAAGAAATAAATTAAAAAGGGAGAAAGACGGGAAGAATAGGAAGAAGAAGAAGGTGATGGAGAAGAGAGAAGAGGAAGATGGAGGGAGAGATAGGGAACAGGGTCTGGTTCGATGGTAATAGACTGCTGCCTCCTCTATTCGACGGTAGCAGATCGCCATTGCCCCTTGCACTGGTTCTCTTGCCACCACCACCTCCTATGTTTGAATGGGGAATGCAATGAACAATGTCTGGTTCGATGGTAACAAGGGAGAAAAACGAAAACAAAAAAGAAGAAAAGAGGAAGAGAGGAAGAGAGAGGGTGTGTGTGTGTGTGCGAGAGAGAGAGAGAGAGAGACCAAGGGGAAGGGACCGTCGCTGGTTCATTGCCGTTGTCGCCACTGGTTCGTTGTTGCTCTCGAATTTTCTCGAGTTTTCCCACTAGGGTTGCACTGTTTTGGTTCAATCCCGGTTACACGATTTTGGAATCCCACATCCCATTTTGTTCTCATCCCATCATTCTATTTCCCTCAAAACAAATAAGAGAAAAAAAAAAGGAATGCTTTTTGTAATATTCCCCTTTTCTCATCCCCATCCCACAAACCAAACAAAGACTAAAATTATAGAGATGTTCTCAATGCAGGGTTGCAAAAAGACTATGAGCTTGGAGCTTGGACAATTTTGTAAGGGCTGAATCCATACTTTGTTTATTCCTCCCCACAAGCCTCGTAGCAGCCATATGGACGAGATCTGATCACAATAAAATCTGTCCCAAATCACCTCCAACATGATCTGTGTCCATACACTTCGCCATGTCACTCTAAATCCACTACCCACAAAGAATTTCTTCATCCCTACCCACATAACACCATTTTCGTGTATTAGGAGCATTTCCCCATGAATAACAACAAAGTTACACAGATTTTCTCAATACACAGCTGCGTACGGTGGGAACGGATTGTGTGTAGCAGATCTGAGCCAATCTGTAATATGTGGACATAGATCATGTTAGAAAGTATTAGAATATTTTTTTGGTTGTAAGCAGATCTGGATTCACATTGATATGGCTGCAAATGAATTGAAATAATCAGGTATAGGTAAATCCGAATTTGATTCATTTATATTAGATTTAAATCGGATATTATCAATCAGTTTTACATTGAATTTGAATCAAATTTAGAATGCAAGCTGAAATTTAATACATAATGGGTATAAACAAATTAAATTGAAAATAACCATAAATGACTTTGACATTGTATCCATGTATTTGTACTAGATAGAGGCGGGGACTGGGGTGCCAATTGGACTGGATTTGGTCCAATCCGATCCAGACCAATGTGAGTCCATTACAAATGGGCCTGGTCCAATCCAATCCAATGAATATTTTGGACCGGTCCAGAGACTGTCAAATCTGTTCAAATTCCTGTTAATTTATAATGGTTTCAACTCAAACCTGGTCCATTGACACCTATATTCTTATCTTTTATCAATGGATCAGATATTGGCTCAATCCAATATAAATTCATTATGGATGGACCAGGTCCAATCCAATATGTCATATTGGTTCATCCAGTCTATCCAAATTCAATATATTTTATTGGTTTGTCCAATCTCTTCAAGTGAATTTTGATTTGGACGGAATCCAACCCAAAACCAATCCATTGACACCCCTAGGAGGAAAGGCCCTTCATCTATCAGGGCGGAATCCAAAGGTAAAGAAATAGTTATAGAGGATCTAGACAAGCTTTTGGGTCTCCAACTAGCTCAACTCTTGACAGAAAAAAGCGGTGGTCAAATGTATTCACGTGGAAATGGAAAATGGATAAATGCTTGGAAGCCAAAGATGTTCTGAACCACCTTCTAAAAGGAAGAATGTTTCCAGGTTGTAAGTCATGAAGAATATGCAATATAGGTTCAGCTGGTTTATGGTGGTCCATGGGTGGACAGTGAAGATGGCAATGTGGACAAGACTTCCAAAAGGTATTGATATAGTTGCATTTAATTCCAAGATCCCTAATTGAAAACACTACAAGAAAAATTATTAAAGCCGAGGGACCAAAGATTGCCGGCTTAGGCCTTTGGACCACCAGCTTAGATAAGAAAGAATGTCACCTTTGGAGACCGGTCCGAAGCTGTTCAAATATCCCTAAAGTGGCGGTATGTCAGAATAGATATGTTAAAAGTGGGGGTCCAGACCGCCGCCTCAGACTTCGCCTAACCTTCTTAAACAGCCTTTGGAACCGCCACCTTTGGTTCTGCCAAACATTCTCCCCACAGTGCAGGCGGTAGTTATTACTGCCACCTTAAATCTTTATGATCGTCGCCTTGGATCTTTATGACCGCCACCTTTGATTCTGCTAATCATTCTACCCACATTGTAGGCGACGGTTATGACGCCACCTTTGGTTTCACCAAACACTCTTCTCGCATTTTAGGTGGCAGTTTTGACCGCCACTTTAGATCTTTATGACCGCCGCCTTTGGTTCCGCTAAACATTCTACCCACATTGTAGGTTGTGGTTTTGACCACTGGCTTAGGTCATACTTTTTTTTTTCTTTTGTTTCCTATACCTTTTGTATGTATAATTTTAATGATTTAATACCTGCTTAATGCAAATTCAATAACAATTATACATAAAACTTAAACATGTTTAAAATAAAATTTATTAATTTCATAATTAATTATTATAATATCCAAAGCAAATTGTTCAAATAGAAAACATTAAACAAATCAAATTCTCGAGAATACAATGTCCATTTTCCATATAATCATAGAGAAAGAGGTTTCCATGCGGGGAGTGAATATATAGCCACGCAAGCTCAAACTCTCTTAAAGTTCTATTGATATTGAGTGTTAAGTCACTTAATGGGTGTGAATAGCCATGTCCATGTCAAGTACAAGTGTTGGAGGACCTGGAATGCAAGGGAACAAAATCAAATGATCATTTGAAGGGGGTAAAACTAAGTAGACACAAGTAATATCCTTGAAGTACAAAAAGGATTCTCAATCTAATCAAAATATATAGTAACAAAAGGGAAAAGATTTTTTAAGATAAATAAAAAATAAAAAAGATTACATAAAAGGTGATAAGCATATGAAAAGAAGAAAAGAAGAGAAGATAGCTAAAAGAATATGAGGGAGACAAAGAGCAATACTAATAAGGATTTTAAATGTGCAATTATACTACTCCTAACAATTCAATTAAATTTTAATAAATCCATGTTCATAAAAATTTTCCTTGATGCCTTTAGATTTTTTAAATATATTAGAGAAATTAACAAGAAAACTATGAGTTAGTTGGCTTGCTTGAAAGTCTTCAGAAGGTTCAGTTGATCGGATCAGGGAATGAAGAAAGTGTGTTAAGTCCTAATGTTAACGATGTTTTCTCTTGTGTTTCATTCTTTCAAACATTTCACCCAATCCCTACCACTAATCCTTTTCTAGTCAAAACCTTTTGGGGAAGTCCTATCCCTCCCAAGGATCCTCAAGTGTTTTGTTGGGATTTGGGAAGCTGCAAATCAAACTATTAAAACTTACAAAAGGCTTCAAAAGAAGCAAACAAACTGGTGTGTCTCATCTCATGTGTATGTCTTATGCTCGAGAAGCAGGGAAGACAGAAACATCCTCTTTGGCATTGTCATTGTGCTACTAAGATTTAGAACAATTTTGACATTATGGCGGGAGAAAGCTTGGTGGCTCTTAGAGGAAATGGGATTTCTTAATACCAATATTCTGACTCATAACACTCAAAGACAAATGATCCTATGGCATGGTACAAGGGCAGCACTGATTTGGGGTTTGTGGAATGATAGGAATGCAAGAATTTTTGAAAAGAGGCTGAGAGATTGATAGACCTTATTATAGTAAAGATAGCTCATTGGGCCTTGGTTAGTGAGGAATTTCAAGGATCCAGTATAAATGATCTTCTCGGAGGATGGTCAATAATTGCCAAACATCAAAACAGCAAGCACCATCAAAGGCAGAAATTAGGGAATCATCCAGCTGTAGGCAAATTAAAACTCAAATTCAAGGGTTGCAGTCTTGGTAATCCAGGATAGTCTGGTGTGGGGATTGTAGTAAGAGATCATAACAGCAACACTAAGCTAACTTTTCTGGACCAAATAGACAAGGTAATGTTGTCAGGGCCAAATTAATGGCTCTAAAACTAAGGCCTAGATCTGATGAGCAGGAATGGTAATGAAGGTTGTTGAAGTGCAAGGTGAGTGCCAAACCATAATTTTGTGGATGAAGAAACATGGGGAGGTCCCATAGAGATTCAGACCTTTGGTTAGAAAAGCACGAAACCTAGGTAACAATTTGAACAGCTTGTTCAATTGGATTCCTAGGAGGGCAAATGTTTGTGCTGACTCCTTAACAAGAGCAGGAGCTGTAAGGGATCATATGGAATGGAGCATACTAGGGCCAGGAGTTAATTTTAATACATTCATACTATCTGTACTCTTTTGGCCTGTTGCCTTTGGGGCAATTAGGATAGAAAAATATCCCTGAAGTTGCCCCATCTCTACATGTCATAATGTCTATTGATATCAAAATTATAAACCATGGTGTATGACAGTATGAACCAAAACAGACTATATTTTAAAGAACAAAGTAAACCTGGTTAAAAATTAAAAAAAAAAAAATGAAAACCCATATTTTCCCAAGTTTTATTACCTTAAAACATGATCAGCACTTATGTTCACAATATTACATTGAAGTATTAAAAAAAAGTTGAACATACACTTAAACCTTAACAGATAATAGTGGTTAAAAGGATTGCCAAGTCAATAGAGGACTATTTGGTAATAAATCTATAAGAGGTTCAAGAATTTTAAATATATGGATGAAAGATATATGAGAAGGACATGTTCTATTGAATATAAGGTGTTAAATTCATGAAAGGACAAACTTTTTCAAATCTTTTTGTTTCATAATAAAATCCCGTTTTATCTTCCTTCAACCTAACCTGAGTCAGGTTTGTGCTATAAAGATTTTAAACCAAACCATGTTGACCCACTCAACTATGTCTCCATACGTAAATTGATGGAGAGAGGGGATAGTGTTCTAGTTGGAGTGGGATATCTACCAACTATAACTCCAATCTAATATGATCAAACTGAACCTGATCTGACCTATTGCCACCTCCATAGCTAGTCTTATATGACCCCAAACACTTAATTCACTTTTGAGTAAATACAACCCAACTAGTGTTTACTGTAGTCTAGCCATATATGAGCTACAACCAAATGTCAAAAAAGAAACTTGCATTGGTTCCCAACCCTAATAAAAGAACTAATCCTAAACTCCAAACACCAATCACATGCACTCTTTATCAAACATGATCCCTAAAAGTTGGTTTCAATTTGTAGAGTAAGACATGCCAACAAACAAAGTAGTAGGCCACATCTAGGCTATTCATAGTCAAGAAAGAATTACTCTATGACCAAATATGTAGCTTTCAACATTTGAGTATGTCAATTCAAGTTTTTTTTTTTTTGCTAATTGATTATTAATTTCTATTTAGGCTTTGACAATTTTCTACTTGCCAAGTTTTTATCTTAACTCCATAAAAAGCATTATGCACATTAATGTTTTCCACAATGATACTGGATACACATGCCATGCTTTTATCTTTCCCTAGCCCTCATAGGCTGTGAAGAGAGTGAAGGAAGCATTCAGAAACTCAAATGCACATAACTTTGATCCTAGAAAAACCAAAAGGCTGATTCATATGAGTTTTAAGGAAGCATTCAGAAAATTGATGGCCCAAGCCATAAATATAAAGGGTTGAGGATTTCGTATAGTTGGTTTTACATTTGGTATATATCTGGATCTCTTCTGCACAAAAGTAAACAGGAAAATGTTGTTAATCAATCATATTTTGCAATTTTCCCACTCTACCTAAATACTGGGGAAGGAAGTTGATTAGCTAACCTGAATGTAGTTGACTTGAGAGAGATTCACCGAGTAGAACCTTGGCTATCAGCAATGCCATCTCCTTGAATTCTGAGGGTGGAAATCAGTCACCTTTGCTTGAACACCCAAACATAGCTTAAGAGAATACCAACTGTAATAAATAAGAATACCTGAATTTTTCCTTTCCCAAAGGTTTTGTGCCCCACAAGGATTTGCTCTGTCATTGTCATGCAAAGCCCCAGCCAAAATCTCACTAGCACTTGCACTTCCATTATTTACCTGTTTCAAAAAGAAAAGGCTTCAAAACTAATATAAATGCTTTGCTTATCAAAAAGTTATAAAATTTTCCTAGTTAATAAGGTTATATTGTGAACTACAGTCTAAAGAATATTTTTAGGTGAATACATGAAATTCATTACTTCAAAAACTTGTAATTCATAGAGGTTGAAAAGGAGAAAAGGGAAACTTCACCGAACTGAAGAAAATTTTATCTAAATTTAAAGAACTATAATGAGTTCTTGTATGTGCAACCACAAGCAAAATGAGTAAGATGATCTTTCAGAAAACTCATTAGAACATTAGAATGATTTCAAAAGCTAACAAAGTAAAAGCTGATGGGATAGAAAAAAAAGTCTGAGGTTATTAATTGGTACAGTATGGTGGATACTAGTAGTGCTACTTGAAAGTGCTTTAGAACTGAAACTAATCATATGGGATTGCATATATTGATCTCACATTGCTGACGTGCTAACATGTAAAGTAGGTTATTAATTGGTACAGTATGCTGGAATGGGAAAAAGAAATTCTTTTTCCATTCCTGACCCACAAACACATAGTAGCAGGTGGAAGAAAGTCATCTTCTACCATGCAATGTAACCAAAAGAAGAAATCAGCTCAACGAGACCCATTAGAGTAGCACAGGCTTATATGGTTTGGGTCATTAATTGTCCTATTTTGGTCTAGGTCTCCTAGATAGAAAGCATATTAAATGAAAATTCTTGGTAGCCACGGGATGCATGTGATAAGTATGGCAGATGCATTAGCCAGATTAGATCATTCTTCAGGGAAAAAAATCTAGATTAATTACTAAAAGCCAAAAATTAGAGATTTTGCAATGCAAGAATAATGACTGGCGGACTCCTGTTCTGAATTCCCAAACCATTTGTTAGGTGTTTTCCTAAAGCAGTAGTCCAGACAACGAGGACATGCAATTTCTTGGGAGTGCAAGATGGCATATTTTTTCCTTTAACAACATTTTTTACCACCATTACTTTCTGAAGTTTTTTCTGTCTTTTTTTTTTGTTTTAATGAATTTTTGAATTAAGACAAAGGTTACTTCCATCTATAACTAGAAAAACAACCAAAAGATTTAAGCAAAAAAATATTGGATAATCAACAATGGATATGGCATGGAAATATATCCTCAAACAATTAAAGGGAATATGGGGTTGAGCCAATGTACTTGTGCCTGGGGGGTTGAGACTCATACTCTCGCTAAAGATGATGTCAAAATCAAATGAATTCAGTTCTGTTAAATGTTGAGCTGAATAGTCCAACCCACCTAATGATGTAGTTAGGCTGACCTAGGGATCCTCTATCAAAAACCATAAACAAAATGAGCAATATTTTATAACAGGACAGAATTTTTCTTGATAGATAAAATATCATATTTCCATTAAATCAAAAGGAAATTACATAATCAGTCCATTGGGAAGGCATGAAATGCTGCCTCACCAAATATGAACCACACAAATAATTAAAACACAAAAACTAAAGTAAAAGGTGCATGATTACAGATACAAAATTATAGTTGTGCCCAAAGTAGAGTTTCCTGAATTGTGCCCTATTTTTCCAAGCTATAAGCAAAAGCATTAGTTGATCTCCCCACCCATTGTATAGTAACAGACATATTCCTTGTCAACCATCTATATTTCTTTAATTCATTCTTATAACCTCACAGGATGTTCTCTGGATTATTTAAGCACTCCACCACTACCCTAAAGTCCAATTCTATCAGCAATTGCTCCACACCCAATTGTTTTAGAAGGAGGACCCCTTGTATGGCAGCTAGCAATCCTACCTTAAAAGAATTCCCAACACCCAATGAGATAAAGTAGAGAAGGATAACCTCTCCAGTCCCATTTCTCAAAATACCTCCCAATCCAGAGGGCCTTGGGTTGCCTTGGATACTCCCATCAGAATTCAACTTCCAAAATCCTCAAGGAGGGGTGCAAAGTTTATAGAAACCTTTTCCTTTGAGAGTGAACAAGTTGCTACTACTAACCAGTTTCTCCATAAATCATTAAAAGAAAATTGGTGAAACACCTTCAGGAGAAGGAGGAGAAGAATAAAAGGTGTCCTTTCTCTTGGTTTGATCTCCTTTGCTAAAAAAAACTTATTTTTTCCCTTTTCCCTCTGAAAACTACTCGATTAAGCAATATTGTTCTGCCATATTCTTTACATTTTCTTACATGAAACTGGTTTTTGGGTTATGGGATTATCTTCTTCCGTGGTCTCCTAATATCATAAGCAAGATTTTAGTTTTATGTAATAAAATAAAACTAGAATTTGTATCAATTAATATGAAACAATATTCAGAAACAAGGGTTATTTTTTAATAAATATGTGAATGAATTGTTTTAGATAGCAAATTAAATGTTTGTATATAGGTTTACATAAGCTTTGCATATGAGAAAACAACTTTTCAAAACACAAATAAATGATCTTTAGAGGCAGTCACAAGTGCCTCTAAATAAGACCAAATAATACTACAGTGGTGGTTTTAAGTGTTGTATAAAGCTTAAATAGGATTCTTAAAATTACTTTAAGGGGCAAATAAATTTGCCTCAAATTTAATTTAAATGCTCCTAAAAATGTATATTTGGTGGCATTCATGCATGCCTCTGTAAAATGCTTTTAGCGTCAGTGCTTTAGAGGCAACATTATGCGCCTCAATATCTCATTTTTGGAGGCACTTATCAGATGTGCCTCTAATTATAAGTCAGGTGCCTCTATAACATTTAGAGGCTAGACATTTAAAGGCAATCACCCGAGTGCCTTTAATTCCTTTTAGAGGCTTTTTTTCTATCTTTAGAGGCATTTTTTGTTGCCTCTATAGGTGATTTTTCTAGTAGTGTGAAAGCATATATACCAAAATTAGAATAGAAAAGCACGAGCAGAAAAGTCTAGGTGAACTCCCCAACCTTTCAAAATAGCTTTTGGTTTCAAGAATAAGTTATTTAAGCAAAACTTAGTTATTTCTCATTCCTACTCAAGATAGATTCTTGTAATGACTTCATGTTAGATTATCAAATCATGGACTATTCAATTCTAATGTTTTCCCAAGAAAGAAAATTTTGTTTCGTATAATTTCAAATGCCCTCAATAGTTTAAAAATGAACTTGTCGACAATAATAAAAAGTTGGGTGATGCAAACCATATTTAATAATATTATATGTGTACTTTCTACAATTGGTTTTTTTGGCAATATACATTGTATTTATCCACAAACAGATATTTCAATTTTCCTAATAGAGCACATGGAAGGCATGAAGAGGCAACACAATGGGCTGCTACTCCTATAAGAAAAAATTGGATTGCTTTATTAGCACTTCAACATGTGCATTTGTTCCAAGAAAAATAACAAAAATGGTCATTGATGTCTATTAAGAAAACAATTCTATTCTAGACCAGAACACCCATAAAAGGTAAGGGAGGTTTAATTTGTGGATTGAAGAAAAGAGTGTTGATGAATTCTTCATGCAGAGTATTCATACAACACTCGGATAACTGTCTGAGAAACTGAATTCATGTTGAAGGCAAGGTCTTACTGGAAAAATGGGTAATTTATAGTGTTTCTATATGTTGCGATATCATCAAGTAGATAGTCTTAAAGAAAATAACTTCCACCAATCATCATGAGAATACCTAGAGCTAAAGGTTTCAAGAATCGGAAGGGCTTTGCACCCATCACAATAGCAGTCAAGGGGCAGAGCTTCCCATTAAATGGGAATATCAATGATGACAAAGATAATTCAAATGTTATTTTTTTTGTCCTTATATTATTTTACTTTTATTTTTTCATCTTACCTGTTTTTTTTTTCTTATTTTCTTATGGGATCCTATTTAATTTTACTTAATTTATTGGATTGGCCATTTATTTGTTTTATTTTTATTTATTTATTTTCGTTCTAATTTAATCTTATTATTTTAATTATTCTTTTTATTCTTGTTTCATTTAACGACTTATTCTACTTATTTATCACCTAAATACAATGGAATGTGTAGAAAGTAGAATCAGTCTCTCCATTTCACTTCCTCTTGCCAAATTTATTTATTATTCTATCTTAGGATTCGACTTTCGAAAATGATGTTGAATATGAAGACGATGAGAAAGGGATATGAAGAGAGAGGGAGAAGTAAAGAAATTGACAAGAAAAACGGAGGAAAAAGAGGTTGCTGCTGCTACTATGTAGAATCCAGTTCATGGCCACCACCACTACGAAGAAGATGAAGGGAAATGGGGGATTCGTTGAGAAAAAAAAAAGGAGCAAAAATGGAGAGAATGACAGAGGAGGAATAAAGAAAGAGGGTCAGAATGTTACATTCTCTTCTCCTGTTGGAACGACCAAGTTCGGTAGTGGCTTGGATATTGCCTAGAAATTTCCCCCTTCTAGTTTCTTTCCCCTTCTCAAACGAAGAACGGATGCTGGCTTGGAATCGTGTAACCCTAGATTCTCTCCCAACTTCTCCACGAAAAATAATTCTCCTATGTCGTCTTCTTCAAAATTTCTCTGCAAGGTTTTTTTTGTAGAGAGTCTTGTCGAACAAGGAGACTATGCATGGGAGAAAGATTTCTTTCGCATCCCCGCGTTACTCCTAATACCGGTCCGTTGCAAGATCAAACCGGTTTGAATCCGATCTGTTGTAAAATCCGTTGAACATATCACTATAGAGTGCCACGTCAGCTTCTAAAAGCAATGTAGGCGGCGGTCTTTAGAGGACTGCCTGCTCAGGTATTACTCTAGTGGCGGTCACTAAGTCCGCCTGCTCTAAACCGCCGCATTTGACCATTTTCTTATAGTTGACATTGGCCAATTCGTCACTGTGGACGGCAAAAAGAAATGGATTCACTATTGTTATGAAGGCTTAATTAAGATTTGTGCCTTTTGTGGTTTACTGGGCCATTGCTGGCACTGCTCCAAGAGGATTGACAAACCGTTGGAGGTGATTAAGGTGGAACTATAGGATCAAGAGATTGACCTCCCCGATGAATGGTTGTGAGCTGAGTTCCAACCAGACAAACCTTTCAAAATTCTAATATATAGGGGTCATGGATCAAATCGAATTCAGGTTGGGGTATATCCAAATTCGATTCAATAGGATATATCCTACATTCAAATTCGATTTGAATTCAATTTAACATGGAAAATAGTGGTTCGAATTTGATTTGAGAAATTATCGAATATCCAATGATAAATTCAATTCATTTAATTTGATTGAAATTGAAAAAATAGAAAAATCAAAGGAAAAAAGGAAAAGAGGTTGTTTTTCATGTTTTGCAACCAAAATCTATTGTTGATCAAGATTTTCTACAATAGTTAAGGAATGGACGATGAGTAATTTAGGTGAAAGCCGGGATGATGATCCGTCAAATATTGGATGGAGTTGGTTGGATGAAGTAAATAGTCAATACATGAGTAACAAGCGTCCTCTCCTTGCCAATATGGAAGTAAAGTGTAACTCCATATTTCTTAAGCTCTTTAATGTGGATCTGGGGCAATAGAATGTTTTGGCAGAACTTACCATGAATAAACTTCTTCGTCAATATTTCTGATTGAGTTCAAGGGTCGATTTAGATTCAACATCTCAACTTGTCTATTTTCCATGATCAAACGCCATTGTCATCTTTACCAAAGATTTCTAGTAGTTGGAGTTTCCTTCACTTTGCTTCAACGAGATTTCAAAGTTCCTCTTATGTTATTAGACCTTAGATCTGGATTTCGATTTCTTACTTTGCCTGCCTTCTTCTCATCATGGATAAGAAGAAAAAAAGGAAGATGAATCTCTTTGTTTTGTTGCATTAGCTAGGGGTAGGGAAGCATAGCTTAAGGAATAGGGATTTTTATATTGGAGTCTATTGCTTAGCCTCTTAGGGAATAGGTAACTATTAGGCTAGGTATCTTTTGTCTTATCATCTAATAAGAATAACAAAAGTATTACACATGTCTTACGTTATGTATTCTTATATGTAAATTAAATATATATAATAAAACATATAAGGTATTATATGTTTTATTATATAATCAAATCGAATTGGATTTTTTTTCGGATAATCAGGAGTAAATTCGAATTTGATCCGATAAGCAAACATATGATTCGATTTGATTCAATAATCCGATTAAGAATACTCAAATTCAGCATAATCAGCAATCCATTTGCACCCATAATAACCTGGCTTTGATCCACATGAGTGATATGGGTTCTGACAAAGACTCGGAGGATGAGGGATTAGTTGAGAAAAGGCATTGTTTAGCGGACCAATCATCTGCGGTGGTGAAATCAATTGATAGCCTAACTCACCACTATCAGAAACAACACTTATCAGTAGGTACAACCATGCTTCATCCAATTGGCCTGCATGCACTGAAGAGAAAACACAAGTGGCAAAGTACTTATGCAAAACCGATTAAAGCCCAAAATATTATGTCTGGCAGCCATGCTTGTAAAGATGAATTCGTGCATTGATCGGGTTTAGGTTCAGTATATTAACAAATTGAGCAGTTTTGGTTATCTAGATTAGGAGCTAGCTAGGACTAAAAAAGTTGGTTATCTCATGGCAAATGGCTCTCGTTTCTCCTTCCCCCTGGCCCTGGATGTGACAAATCCTCTCTTGAAAAAGGAACAAACTCAAGAATCATTGGAACCGATTGGAATGGACCAGATGGATTTATTGACTTTTGCCCAATCCCTTTTTCCAAGACCAAAGAAGTCATCCCCAAGTTCAACAGGAGGGATCAGTAACTAGTAACAATGAAGTATTTGGAGACCTAGCACTAGTCTGTGCTCATCTTTGGTCCAATCCTTGTGTTAATCCCCCTCTTTCTTCCCTAGGTATCTTCTTTTTGGCTTAAGGTTATTTATTTATTTACACTATCATTATTTTTCTATAGGTTGTGTTTGGTTGCAATGTAAATAAATTTGCATTGATGCAAACCATGGCAGTGCAAATGATTTGAATATAAATTCTAACCTTTTTTTTGTTTTAAATTTTAGCTTATTTTGTTTAATTGCAGTAAAAACGAAGTAAATTAAGACATGAAGTATAATAAAGTAAAATTCAAAACAAAATTAAATAAGAATTTACATTTTTACATTTGCACTTCCATGCATTTGTACGTACTAGTGCAAATAAAATTCAATTGCAACCAAACACAACCATAGTGACATCTCCCCTTTTACACCTGAAATAAACTCCGCCAACTTTGTTTACATTCCCAAAATTGAGAAAAATCTCTCATTTCAGACCAATTAGTGCCTGCAATGTGATCTATACAATCATATCTAGATGCTTGGTTTTCAGGATGTAAAAACACATGGACAAACTCAACTCCGAATCAAGCATCCTTTATAAAAGGAAGATAATGTGTAGACAATATAATTATTACAAATGAAAGAAATGCCAAGGATGGATCTTCATAAAAATCAATATTTCTAGTGCTTATGATAGAATGAAAAAGGATTTCAACATTGAGGTCATGAAAAATGTGGGTTTTTCCAATCATTGGTGTAAGATGGTGAGATGGTGTATACAAACCCCAAATTTCTCTATAAAAATCAAAACAACCCAAAAGGATTTCTTTCATCTGCAAAATGGCATTAGATAGGGAGACCTGTTACTTGCCTACTTTTTTACATTTGAAATGCAAATCCTATCCACCCTATTTGATCAAGATGAGTTACAAAAGAGCTTAAAAGGTTTCAGAATTAGTCAACGAGAGGAATCCCAATTAAACATTTGTTGTTCGCATAAGACTGCCTAGTTTTTTGTCAGGCTGGCCCATCCCAAGTTAGTAAGGTGAAGGAAATTCTGTCAATGTTTGAGGCATGGTTAAGCAAATGCATAAACAGAGCCAAATCAGGCCAATGAAGGAAATTCTATTGCTATTGCTCTGGTAAACTTTGGTTATTCTTGCCCTATAAGTTTCACTTCTTTTGATTTGAAATATTATTTGAGCCAACAACCAGGTCAACATTTGCAAATTTAATATCTCAATTTCACAATATTTTAATTTATTTGAATTACTAATTGTTGAGTACCACTAGAATTCCACTTCCTAGTTTTTACTGCAAGGTTCATTCATAGGATGCATTCTATTTTCTTTTCCTTCTCTTTATCCATATGTTATTCACTTCTAGGTCTTGTTTAATTGATAGTATTGTTCGACTATTCTCTTGATTCCTTTCATTTGATGCTTGGGAAGTAGGGATAATTTACGTTTGTATTGTAGTTCAAATCATTTTATTTATTTATGCAGTACTCTATTATTGTTTATCAATTAAATATTCTTTAATTTTTTAAATTTTGATATACAAATTATGAATGGATCCTTTTTTAGGGTTATACCTTCCATGGGAAAAGGGTGGGGTGGCCCTTGTAAGCTTGGGATAATCAAAAGTCTTATATTTTCAATTTTTTTTTACCTCATCAACTTTATTTGTAGATATTTAATGATATTTTAAAAGTTTTAGTTATTTTTCTTCTATGGCATAGACTTGCAGTAATACTAGAATGTTTAAATACTCCATTATCAACATTCTAATGTTTTTTTTTTGTATTGCAAGCAATTTTGAGTAGAAAGAATACAATACACCCATTATTGAGAGAAGTGCTGCACTTCTTGGATAGACAAGGATTGTGAAGATGATATGTAAGTATGGGCTGGTATGATGTACCACTTATTATGGATTTAGCTGTAGGCGCCATTTGGGGAACCATTGTTGCTACTTGGTATGATGTAACACTTATTGAGAGAAGTGCTGCACTTCTTGGACTAATAAGGATCGTGAAGATGATATGTAAGTATGGGCTAGTTTTTGCTGTAATTGGTGTAGTTGTATAGGTGCGCAATAATTAGTACGGAATTATACGATGAAGAAAGACTTCGTTAAGGAGTAGTTGGTGGTTTATAGGGTTTTAAACGATATTTAAATAACTAAATTTAAAAAAAAAATATGTATTTTTTGTAAAAACAAAATAAGTTAATAACTATTTAAATAAAAAAAAATCTTAAAATACTCTTATTTACCTAATTTACAAGCTGTTCCCTTATTGTTTAATTATTGTCTTAAATCACCCCTACTATTTACAATTACCATTATGATTAAATTGTAACAAAATGAATAAAATGTCTCTGTTGCCCTTAATTTGTCTTCTGAATCTCCCTTAATCCCATTTTCCCTCTCCCATCATTCTCTTTTATCCTTTTCTTACATCGTCACCACCGCCATTGCAGTTGACAGATTTGGATTTGGCAATAAACAGCAGCAGCAGCTAATATGAGCATACTAAAGCGGGATCAACACTGTTCTCTGGCAAGAGAGGATGGTTCACACCTTGCCTTCTCTTGCTTCAGAAGAAGATCTAAATCCTTGTCGAAAAGAAACCCCACGATAGAGAATAGGAGTGGCGAGCAAGCAACATAGAGAAATCCCCGTTGTACTAGCCTCCTTCTCTATCTTGTTCCTGGCTCAAGTTATCCGAGACGTGATCACCATGGCAATGAGAAATCACCTTCCCCAAATAACTTTTTCCCAAGCATGCTTAGGATCGAAACCCAATCTGGCGATCAATCAAATGGCTGAAGACGAAGTGGGGTGGTCCATGTGAGAGC